AGCGAGGATGTTCGCGTTCGGGGTAAGTCATGAAGAAATGGCGATACAGGATTGAGCGACGGCTCGGCGATACCCGGCCATAAAGAAGAATATTCACATCATTTACTGATCGAGGAATGACAGGCATCGCCGTCTCCCGACGTGCTATTATTCTTCCGTCATCGCCCCCCCACGTTAGGCGAGGCACCATACGCTATGTTGGACCAGTGCCTACGATACCGTTCCCTGGAGTGGACGTCACATCCCAAGAGACTTCCAACTCTGGTCCCCAACCTATCTGGGTAGGAATCGAACTCGACGAGCCTACTGGAAGGAACGACGGTAGCGTAGGTGGCAGACGCTATTTTACTTGTCCCAACAATACGGGCGTCTTTGTGAAACCCGAGAAGGTGGAAGTGGGAGACTTTCCCCCATTGGATTTGTTTGATGGCCTGGACGATGAAATGGAGGAAATATGAAAATACTTTCCTTATCTCAGCCGAGCAAGTAGTCCAGCTGGAAGAGAATCACAGAAACAGAGAGACAGTGGGGATGGAAAGGCTAGCATCGGTCTGGCGCAATAAGTTTCTATTCAAGACAATATATCCAGTATACCAAGCTCCCGCTCGCAATCGTTGTGCTCATTCGCCGGCAAATAAGAGATGGACTGAGAAGGAAAGGGGGAAGAATCTCGCAGAATAAACCCGAACACCGTCGTTCCAGTACCCCATGCTGGTGAATCGCTACACTGAAAAGGGCCAAAGTCACGAAATGAATACAAATACCCAATATGGAAGAAAGCTTCTACAGCATTTCAACGGGAAAAAAAGGAGGGAGTAGGAAAGTGCACTGCGAACACGCTCGCAGTCGGTCACGTCCCACAGGAGCGACCGAACCGAGGGGAAAAGAAAATGGATCATAAAGCTTTAGATCCACTTCCTGCCTTTTGCTTGCCTTTCGGCCTGCCTTTACCGGTACCGTTTGGGCGACCCCTTTGAGTTGTTGACTCGTCTTCAGTTGTGACAGCTGGCTTGGAAGCTGATCCGGGGCTGGACTGGTCATTCTCTACTGGAACACAGCCTTGCGTGAAGAAGAGCCGAGCATCCTTCCCATGCGTGTTCGCAAAGCTGTAATAATTGCCTGCAACTCAGGAAAACACTAATCAGCATGCGCAATGAAGGTGCAAAGGAGCTAGACACAAGGCGAGCACGTCCTAAAGAGATCCCTTACCTCTTGGCACTTGAAACACACAGCCCTTTCCGGCGCTGAATTGCACGCCGGATATATCGACCTGGACCCGTCCGTGACACACGTAGAAGACCATGTGCATCTTCTTCGAGTTCTTGGGTTTCTTGACACCCCCTGGGGGCAGTTCGACTATTCCAGAGCCGATAAACGGGGAGCTCAGCAGCTTAGCAAAGCGGAAGGTGGAGTCTTTGACATCTCTCGTCTCGATACCGGACGGAGCATAGGCGATATCTACAATTACCTTGGGTCAGCGTACTTCGGTGATTCAACAGCGAGGCGACCAGAGAAAAAGGCAAGCACAAAAGTACTTACCAAGGACCTCCTCTTCGACAGAACCGGCTTGGGTATCTGGATCCCATTTCCTAACATAACCATGCAAAACGCCGCCTTCTTTCTCCCACGGATCGACGTAATCGTCGTCTTCATTGTCTGAATCATCGTCTCGGCTCTTCCGCGACTTCGATTTCTTGGATGACCGCCGTTTACTGACTTTCCTCTTCTCCGGTTCCAGTTCTTCTGTTCTGATGATCTCTTTGATAGTCGAAAGCGGATAACGCTGGCCTTCGGCGGCCTCGCCGTCTCCATAAACGCACCTCTCATTTTTCCAGTAGGCAAGCGGTCGAACAGAAACTCGCCCCGATCGGGTGTGGGTTGCGCTGCCATCAGTGGGTATTTCCCGCTTCAGTATGTATAGGCTCCGACCCTTTAGGGGCCCCGTACGATTGACATAATTTTCCACAACTTTGTCTAATTCTGGATTCCCGGAGCTCTTCAACGCCCGCCCAGTCTGACTGGCAGTCTTCGATTTCTTGGAAGGTCGTTGTCCCACGGTATCCTCATCATCACTGTTTCTTCTTTGCGATTTTGGGGGTCTCCCAGGGCGCTTTCGTTTCTGTACATTTCCTTGCTCGCTCGTCTCATTTTGCTGCGTGACTTCTTGGGCCCGAGTTTTCTCAGATTGTGCAAGTCTCTTAGGCTTGGGGACGACTCTTGATCGCCCTGTTTTGCGCGAACCGGCAGCTGTGTACGACGGAATATCCACGTCGACCCCATCAATGCGCTCAGACTCATCCTGTTGATCTTCCGCCAGAGTGTCGCCGCCAGCGTTGAAACTGTCGTCGTAATTGTTTCGCATCTGCTCAAATGCATTCGCATTTTCGTCTCCGTTCATTTGACTATCAGCGTCACTGTCTGAGAAATCAACTGTGACCGTGGTTTCTGCCGTCTTGTTGATTCCTTTATTATTCCGCAGGCCATTGACATGGTTTAGAGAGGGCGCGTTGATGGAACGGTTGGTAAGAGGGGATACGTCACGCCGTGTTTCCCCCTTAGCACTACCAAGCCCCTTACCATCTGACGGACTGGAAGAGAGAATGTCACGTTGCGGGCTTGCAGAAGATCGCAAGCCGGGAGTCCGCCGCGGTGATCCACTCAAGCCTGATTTCATGGGAGATCGCGCAACCGGGGGCGGCAGGAAGGATGCGCGCCCACCGTTCGTTCCATTCAAGAAGTCAGCGGGCCCAAGCCCATTGCCTGTGACCAGGCACAAGATCAGTATGGTTGTGGACAAATCGGAAGAAATTAATCACACCTTCATCCATGGACATTCCATCTGATCCAATCGTAGTGTTGTTGCCATATGCTCCTTCAGGTGACTTTTCGGGAGACGAGAAAATCCCATCAATCTCCTCCATTCCATGCTCGTCGCGCTTGCCTTCTTTTAAGGTAACTCCCGTTCGTCTACATCCCGTGCCATGGTCAGGGTTCCCTTGCCGAAATGACGGAGGATTCCTAAGGAGACTTGCCCCTGCATTACTTACCTCCCAGCTTTACCGACGTTAGAATAGTCATAGTCGCGAGTTTTCGCAGGCCCGCGAGGAGCCATCGTTGCGGAGGTTTAGGAGTAGTGGTGCGGGAAACAGTTCACCGAATTATTGGAGCGATGTACCGGGATAGCAGCTTCCGATGCCAGAATCTCTGTGCCGTGAAGCTTTGCGAGTAGGACGCTGTATCTCATGTAGGAAAAACACAGTGCCTCGTGCACTAATAGGATGTCGAGAAAGGGGAATTCAAGCGTCGGGCAAGAGTAAAGATGATGGTTGCTTGGGAGGGGAATTGCATTGGAATCCATGATGGGCGGCGAACAACGCGCGGAAGTGCCGCTAGTCCGGAACGGTTCTTGACGCGTCCAAAACTCCCAAAGTGCAGCCGCCAGGCCATACAACCATGTGAGTGTCTTCCAACATTTGCTGCTAGATTAATCTAGATCTGCCTCTTCTTGAGCTTTTTTCTTCTCCTAGACTTCAGACCTGCTGCCAGTATGGAAGAATCCGGCCTGAGCGTCGCCTATGCTCCAGATGCATCTACCTCCGCGGGCTCTTTCATCCCTCCCAGTATAGATCGCGCTCATCTGCTATCTGGAGAGTCCTACGCTTACTATTCTTCATTTCCTCCTGCAAGTACAGAAGGGTCTTCGCAGGTCACTGGCGACCATCCCACGACCACAGCGGATTCCTCCCCGCCATCCGCATCCCGGTCACCAAGCTATTTTGTACTGGGCGTCGACGAAGCGGGACGCGGTCCAGTTTTGGGTCCCATGGTATACAGTGCCTTTTATATTCCGCATACTCTCCATCACTCCCTCCTGGCTCGCGACTATAGCTTCAACGATAGTAAAGTTCTCACTCCGGGTGTGCGCGCTAACTTGATGCGGCTGCTCTGCACCGCTGGAAATCCTCTCCATGCATCGTGTGGGTGGGCGACGAACGTCTTGTCTGCGCGGGATATCTCGGCAGGCATGATGCGGCCTGCATCTGGTGCGTATAACTTGAACGCACAGGCGATGGATGCCACTGTTGAAATAATACGCGGCATTGTGGAGGAGCGCAGAGTAGACATTAGGGAGGTCTACATTGACACAATCGGGAATCCAGCGACCTATCAACAGAAACTGGAGCGCATTTTCCCTACATTGAAGATTACAGTCGCGAAGAAAGCCGACTCTTTATACMCTTGCGTAAGCGCTGCGAGTGTGGTCGCCAAAGTCACGAGAGACGTGGCACTGGAGTTCTGCCACGAGGCCGTCTACGGACTTCAACGATCTGAAGCGCCATCGCGGGGGGTGGCCACAGACAGCTGGGGAAGCGGGTATCCTTCAGATTCCAAGTGCGTCAGCTGGCTCAGAAACCATATGGACCCCGTTTTCGGATGGGGCAACGAGTGCCGATTTAGCTGGGGAACTGCAAAAGAAATGCTTGAACTCAAGGGTGGAACTAGAGTCGATTGGCCGGTCGAAGAGGAGGGCACTGCACCGATTAAAGACTTTCTGCTTACCACCGCAAGAAATGCAAAGAGAACTGAGCAGGATGAGTTGCGGGAATGGTTTGGTCGCCGATCAATGGAGGTGCTTTGAAAAGGACCCGCCCATCCATTGGCTTCAATAGGAAAGAATGGTGAATGTTATGATACCCAAGTTGAATCAGATTCTATACATGTCAAGGCAATTCACAAAGAACAATAAATGCAGTAGTGACCACAAATGTCCCATGGGTATCTCCCTGAAAACTCCTTGTGAAGCACACATCACACATCAAATGAGACTTTCCAAAACGCCGAATCATCATCGCGATTCAGATGGACAGGGAGATTACACTAGCAGCCATCATCCTCTAAATCATGGACCTGCAAGGCCTTTTAAGACAAAATTGGAAACTGATCTAAGGAAGGGCAAGAACAGAGTAAAAGGGGGGGATACGTAATGAAAGAGTGAGACTTCACAGCGTTGCAGTAGAGAAGTAGAAGTTCTCCCATAAGTATTCATAGTCTTCGATGACGCTCCCCACCAGATCAAGCAGTGGTTTACCTTTCATCTTGGAGGTTAACCCCTTTAGCCAAGACCTAATCAGCGTCAGCTTGTCGTTCCCTTCAGCTCAAGTGAAAGGCTAGGGATTGCATACTTGGTAATGTTCTCATAGAATGCACCGCGCATAAGCCACCAGCCCATGGCCCAGCCTCGCTTTCTCAGTTCCTCGCGTTCAAGCCCTGTGAGACCCCGAAGGCCTCCTGCCACCCGCTCGCGGAAATCAGACTTGGCAAGTTGACGACAACCATACTCCATAGCAAAGCCAATCAACCAGGGCCTCCAGCTTCTCTTGTCACGCCGCCATCTTTGCAGCGCTAGTGCATAGATGACCGGCCGCAGGATGTATAGCACTTCTGCTACCTGGCCCTGACCACTGACACGGTGCAAAAGCGCCTTCGGCGGCTTGATATCGTCGGCTGTTAAGACTTTGGATATGAGAAAGTTGGAAATGTCGTTGGCATCAGGTAGAGAAGGAAGCGATAATCCAGTGCGCGGCATAGTCCAGCTCAAGTCCGCGGACCGCTCACTGACGGGTGTCTGCATCCCATTCCAATCACTCTCTTCTTCCTCCGTAGACCTAGGATCTACCTCGCGCTCAGGTAACGGTGGGCTGACCAGCGGCCTAGAATTCGTGAGGCGCAGTAGAAGCAGGCGACATGTCGCTTTGATGATTTCGATGAGAACCACAACGCGCCAGCGTACTTTTTCACCTCGACGTCGCGCGATCATCTCCCAGAGTAATTCGGTGTATCGTACCATCTGAAGCGTAAGAGCCACCTGATGATAAAGAGTCGAATGAGATATCCAATATTTTGTATACCGAGAATGAGGCGTTGGTGCCGGCCGCGGAATTGTTGAAGGAAGTCTCGCAAAGACCCGGGAGACGAGGCTATCATGATAGAGCGAAAGGAGCTGAACACCAGAATGGACTGCTCAAAGAGGACAGACGACTTGTGAGTACATGGATATCTGCTAAGATGTTTCGATTGTATACAGACCACATTCTGATGATATCTCGGAGTCTCGATACCGCCCTAGAGCTAGATTAGCTTCCATCCGCAGTCGATGAGAAGGCGCTCGGGCGCGCTTCCGTGCAGTCCTCACCAGGAATAATATATGTGAGAGATCTCAATGCAGACTCGACTTGACCCACGGAGCTAGCATTCTTCGTCACAAAGTCTTCATACAGAGTAAGCCATTTAGACGGCTGCAACAATGTTGCAGGTATCAGACTATGACTCTTCCAGTCTGAATCCATCTCCGATGAAAAGAGCTCCGGAAGTGCCGAGCAAGCTACAAGAGTACCACGTTTTGCGGAAACAATTGAAGGTTTCGAGGCTGCGAAAAGAGAGTCATTGGGCTGACATCGGTCGCCTCGCTGGATGGTTGCAGGAGTCGAGGAGTCGATCTGGGGTACGGAGTACCCCGGCACGTGTCCGGCTCTTATCCAAGGACAAGACGATGCCGAGGTCAATCTTTCCAAAGAGGGTACGCCGCACTGGTATTATCCGTGCCTTACGCTCACCCTCAACGCGGAACGGATATTATTATTATTATTTACATTTACATTACGTTATTGACTGACACATACTCGTTCAAAGGTATAGGGAACTGAGCAGCAGTACCAGTATTGCTCGTGAATTTGCCAGTCACAGCAACACTGTCAATGAGGTTGGATAGTCATTACTTGTACCGAGTCAATCGGCTATTGCAGGATTGCGATTGTTGAAGCGGTTTGCTTATTTTGGATAATAAATATTGGGCTATGCCGTTATATTCCAATATTGCTGTTATACACGTTTCAAGGTCATTCATCAGCGAATTTCCACATTCCGCCACGCATTGCTTCTCGATACCGCTCCTTCACTTTTTCCCTTTCGAGGTTGTTTGCTACTTCGCGATCATGTTCCAGCTCTTGTGTGTCAGGCATGTCCGTTCTCCAAAATCCTGGAGGCGTGCTGGGACGCTGATGGTCATGCCTATGTTTACTGTAGAGGTTGGCCATGCGCCTCGCTCTGGCCTCATGGAGGAGGCTCTGACGTTCATCGGCGCTCAGCTGGTCGAGTAGATGTTTCTCTTCACCGAGGTAGTCCTCCAACATTTTCTGCTCTTCTTCTCCGTCGTTTGAGCCGTCCGTAGCAAGACGCGCCATAGCACGAAATTTTTCTCGGCAGCAACCCGGACGCGTGCAGCCACTGATACACTTGCGTTCATCCTTTCTGCGGACAACTGTGTCATACGCGAAGTCCAGCCCTTGATTAGCATTCGGGTTGATCTTAAAATGTCTAAGACCGAGTCGGTGGAGCGGTCGTGCTCGAAAAGGTTCGTCTTCCGAGTGTACAGCGATCGTATCAGGAACTTTGAACGAATGCGACCGCGAACCTTCCTGCGGAGAGGCTTCTGAGTTTTCCCGGTCCCCGATGGATATGGAAGGCCTACCAATGGCGGATTCGGTTAGCTGACTGGATTTTGAGGCTTCCTTGACACCCCCCGAGGCTTGTATAAATTGGTCACGGGAAATGTCCCGTTGGTCAGGCCCGAAGTCAGCAATATTTCCATACTTCTTCTGTATATGCAATGGATGCCGGGGTCGCAAAGGCTGTTCCAGGAGATCGTCCAGCCGCCGGTGTATCAGTACGTTGTCCATGCTCGTGCTTGCCTGTGTCAACTGGACACGGGATGCCTGCTTCACTTGTCCTCTCCTTGGTACGAGCCTCAAAATTTCATCACCATCTTCTGCTACCGAGTGTAAGGCATGTCTGCTACGTCTTTCTGACTTGTTCGGTGGCTTTTGCTCCGACCATATCCTAGGGCCATTTGCGCTTGGCAGATTAGTGTCCACAGGTTGAAGTACTGTAAGCCGCTTGGGAGCCAGCTGGCTCCCCTCCATCTGATGGCGATTCAACCGTAGAGCCGTTGGATTGCGGGGCAAAGGAGACTTGGTAGTGTCTGATGGAAGCTCATGGGACTGTCCGTCCAGATGATAGGATTTTCTTTTCCTCGGCGTTTCGATAGCGCTGCCAACCTCGTCCAGGTCCTGAGTTCCAGCTAGGCCGTTATGTTCAAGGTGAATTCGTACGGGGCTAGAGGACATGCTCTCGCTCTTTATCAGAACGGGCTGCGCCAACTGGTCGCTCGCCCGAGTGCCGTGAAGGCCAGGCCTAGTCGAAGCATGGTCTGTAACTGTACCACGCTTTCTTTTCAATGCCCCAGCTTTCAATCCTGTCGAAAGTTCGGCGAGTCGAGGAGTTGAAGCGGCTTCGTCGCCGTCGATTGAACTTTCCGATTGTGTTGACGCTGGCTCCATGGAAGTAGCAGACAGCAATCCACCATTGCCTTGTTCGTTGTGTTTGGATGCAATCAAGTCGGAGGTTGGAGTTAAGTGTATCTGTGCAGAAGCACCTCCAACCTTCACTGACAAATCAGTGGGACACAGGGGCGACTTTTTTGAGGGGGTATGTGTCATATCATCTCTAGTATTTTCTGAGACTCGTTTGAATTTGACTGCACGGCCATCAAGTACAAGTGTGAATTCTTCTTTGTTAAGATGAGCACCCCAGTACTGTAACTTTCTTTTATGTCGTTTAATTTTTGCCTTGAGATCTTTGGACGCATCAATCAGTGTCTGGAAATCCTTATAAAGCGCCAGATATTGATCCCAAACGGCCTTCATTCTGTCCGCTGTGAAGCGTCCATCTTCCTGCTCGCCAGTCTCAAATATCCACAGGAGGTGTTCTGGTGAATAGACGTCCTTTAATCGGGCCAATTTTTCCAGTCCTTCAATGTCCTCCAGGCCCACATCGTTTCGACAAATTTCCTCTCTTAAGAGGGAAATCTCGCGGTTGAGCTTCAGAACCTCTGCAGAAACATAGTTTCTGTCTCTACCTGCTAGCTTCTCGTCTAGCTCATCGACGTACTCGTCGCGCCGCGTGAGTTCTGTATGTAAGGATTTATAGGCTTCGTCGAAAAGTTTATCAAAATTCTGAGAGACAGAGGTGTGTAGCTGTTTTAAAACCTCCATGAGGGTCTGTGGCAAGTTGCAGGTAAGTTGCCTATCACGTCCCTGAGACTACCTTACCAAGGTACTATTTAATTATCGCTTGAATCGCGAATGACGCGTTGCGATACTCCGTGCGGAGTAAGGTACTATTCCTGTAATAGTCAGCCTCGGTACTTAACGTAATTCCCAGGTGAGCCGCCCACCCTAGCGAGCCGAGCCGCCCATCTCTGTATTCCATATAAAATGGCACTTGTCAAGGCTTAGATATCTCAACCACAGTCATATATGCTATTATCTAAGTAAGATATTTAGAATATATATAGTCTGAAGTATATAAATACTCTTTCTTAGGATGCTAAAATATTGTTTCTCTCTTTTAATGTCTAGAAGTTAAAATTACTAAAATTACAGGTGTATTTTATGTTAGCTACCGGTATACATACGCGAGGAGGCTAAAGATTATAAGTACATAACTATAATATACCTCATGCCTAGATTTAGCCCCTGTAGATGCGTGGTTGTTGAGATATCAAAGTCTTGAAGGCCGCCATTTTATATGGAATAGAGAGATGGGCGGCTCGCTAGGGTGGGCGGCTCACCTGGGAATTACGTTAACTACCTAAGGTACGGAGCTTGTTGACTTTGCATGTAAGCAAACACGAAAGGTATCGTTACAAATCCGTATTATTTCATACCTTATCGCTGCTGAAATCCTTAGATAAGCGGGCAATTGTTCCTTTGACGTATCAAAGCTCCATGGTTTTCGAAAGCTGCCTCACTACCCTCAATTTCATCAAAATGATAATGAGCCTTTTTGGACGTGGTTGCTTCCATCCGGTATCACTTGTACCTCTTGAGGAATAGCACACATAATGTCCAAGAGACATCTTGACAGTTCCAATACGGATCACCGGCAGCCCAAGCGACCCCGCATAACTCAGGTAGATAGTCACGATCGCCTCTCTCTATTGAGCGACGAACTACTGCTCCAGATCTTATCCTTTCTACCCATACCATCGTTACTAATATGTCAAAGGTTTGTTCTTGCCTCTATATTTTCTTAATCGGCCCTTTTTATACTGTTCCGGGCTGGCTGACGTTCTTTTCTAGAGTATCTCGTCGTTTCCATGCACTTGCTGGGGATTCGGAGCTTTGGAAAAGGCAATATTACTCGCGATGGGTTCGACCTCGAGCACGCCGAGTGGCGAATATTCGACATACTACCCTTTCCGCGTCAAGGGCAACGTACTCGCCACATGTTTCAACATGGCTGGGCCATGCTCATTTAGCTGAGGAGGGCAAGGTGACGAATTGGAAAAGACAGTATCGCCTTAGACATAATTGGTCTAAGGGAATCTGTCAAGTAACTGAAGTCGAACTTCCACAACCCGCGCACTCCCCAATGCTGGTCAAGTTTTGCGCGGGCTTTGTCTTCACAGCAGACTCCGAGCATGGGCTGAGGTGTTGGCGGGCTAGCAACCAAATATCATGCTCCGCTAGACTTCCTCTTGTGGAGTCCGAATCAGAAACCTCAGCATTCCCTACAGCACTAGCGGTGAGCCGCTGCTTACCGCAGAATATTATCAGAGTAACAGTGGGATTTGCAGACGGCCGCTTCGGCGTCTACGACATGGATACTCAGTCGTTATGTCTGAATTTACGCTCTTTCCATTCCGCTTTTGCCGATGGAGCAATCACCGCGATGGCCACATCGAATTCTTACCTATTAATGGTCTCAGAGCACAAGGTTTTATCACTGTACGAGATGTTTCTAGCGGAACCTGAGCCCCCAACTAGATCCAACGCCGCGAATACAAGCAAACAATCCTCAGGGGATGGTGTGAAAATACTCGCATCTCTCAAGGCAGACAGTATATTATTCCCGATGTCCTTGTCAGTCCGATTGGCGCATTCGGAAATTATTGCATCTATTGTTTACAGCTTTTTTCATATTGGCTGTGGCTGGTCATTGGGGATTCAAGAACTGCATTTTGGCAAGAATGGCGAGCAGATCGGTTCTCGACTCGCAACTACCGTTAACGCTCAGTATGGAGTAATGCCACGGCATCCTCTCACTCTTTTGAGGAGGGGATGTTCTTCGTCTTTTGAATCGGGACCATCAAGAGGCGAGTCTCACGTGGAACTGACAGAGCCGTCCATATTACACCAAGAACCGCCAACCTCCATTTCGTATTCCCACCCGTATCTCTTGACGTCGCATGCGGACAATACATTGACAGTGTATCTTGTCGTTTCCACTGGTGCTAAACTTTTCGTCAAGGGAGGTCAGAGGCTCTGGGGTCATACATCATCAGTATCTGCAGTGCAAGTGAGCGACCGTGGGAAGGCGATTTCCGTGAGCTCTCGTGGCGACGAAATTAGAGTGTGGGAACTTGAGAGTCTGATTCCGTCACTTGGGTCTTCAAAGGCAGCAAGGGAGGAGAACAGCATCCAGATCAATCCTGAGAACAAGCCATGCAAGATTCATGAGGGCGGGCCCCTCCTAGCAGGGTTTCTTGCCTGCCGGCTTTGCGGGCCACAGTTGGCCTCTGGGCAGATGTCTCGTGAATACACTCGGATGGGAGATTGTGTCGGGTTTGATGATGAGCGTCTGCTTCTTTTCAGTCGAGGGGAAACTGGGACACACTTGATAGAAATGTATGATTTCACATGAATTGGTTGAGCAATGTTAAATCATCAGCAAGTCAGCATATTTGGTAAACAATGGAACTCCCTAATGACAGCATAGGGATTTTATTTGAAAATGGCCTTAGTTTTCAGAAAGGGCTTCTTATCAATACAAGTTTCTTGAAACACTCTTTATGACATTGTAGGAGGAGTAGCGCAGAGCTGGTGTGCTGTTATAGCGGATCATTGAGTAGGTTGAGGACCTTGTAGGCATCATTAAAGACATATGTTATATTCCACAGAGGTCCTTATTTTGTAAAAAGAAAAAATCACACAGCTACCGTGCTCGATCTCTCTCATCTCATTTTCCATTCTCAATCTGTATACACAGATGACACTGTGTATACATCAATCGCTCGCCTCATCCCTCACTCCTTGTAGTGTCAGCTTCAGCTTCGAGGACTGCACATACCAATCTTTCGACTCTGGGTTCTTGCAATAATGAAGACTGCTAGCGCGATTATTTGTTTGCTGATTCAAAGAACTCTGGATATACAAAATTCATCATGATGAGTGTTCAGTCCAAGCATAACGATCAGTCACGATGCTACTCATTCAGAACCGGGGAATTGCTTCAGAATGGTGCTCTCATGCCATCGCCTGCTGGCAAGGCTCCGACGTCGTCTAAGGTCGAGTATCCGGGCCTTCCACTCAATATATTTTGCTTCACTATCGTGCCCCTCGCAAGGAAACTTCCTCGACAATATCCTCTAAAACTTCAGACCTCATCGAGGCGGCGTTGTCCGCGCCTTACCTTGCCAAAGAAGATACCCACGGCTCGGCTGTGTGGCTTTTCCTACCCTGGTTCATTTTTGTCACATGGTTGCTCGAGAATCATTGGAATACCCTCCTTCTGATTCTTCACGAAGTCCCTGCCTTTGGATCTGAGAGGAGCCATCGTGCACTGTGGGGTCTTCTAGCGAAGCTGACTCCCAGTTAAAAATCTAGCCAGGAACCACGCACGGGAAGCACTCTTTTCCACCCCGCAGCAGCTAGCATATCTCTTTTGCTACCACTACTATTCTTATTATAATACTTTTTTTTAAAAAAAAAAAAATTTCCCCTGCGAAACACAATCAATCAATCTCTGATCGCCCTCTCTCAACCTCTTTTTTGAAAAAAAGGAAGTCAACACAACAAACTCCCTCTTCTTATCTTCGCCCACATATCATCAAAAATGGAATATCAAGCTGGAGGTCGTGGATGCTTCAACTGTGAGTCCTCGCAAATTTAACAAGAAAAACTCTGCGATTGTCAATTTGTGCGTACTGCGCTCTCACTCAAATCTATCTCATTGTCTATGCTTCCCTCTCATTATGCTGTTCGCATCAATCGCTTCTATTTTTCCAAAGAAGTCGCTGGTCGCACCAGCCTTCTACTGACACATCTATTGTCTCCGCGCCCGTGTTCTTTTCTTGCGTTTTGCTATAKTGCGCAATCTTGAAATTTTGGGCATCTGTTCCTCTGAAAAATAAACCTTGGGAATTATGATAGACTAACGACTGTACTTCATACCTTCATAGGCGGCGATGCCTCGCATCAGGTAAGAATTCACCCAGTTCACCAACAACATGGATTTGCATTTTTAGCCCTTTCAGCAACTATACAGAAGAAGAGAGACTTATCCTGTTAGGCTCGCGATTGTCCTAAGAAGGGAACTCCTACTTGGTACGCGCCTCCTCCCCCGTCATGAACAGATAATATCTAATGCTTCTTTTTCCAGCTATAACTGTGGTGGTATGTCATTACTCCTGCCTGAACGTTTCCGCCTTTTTTGTTTGGGCAAAGACATTTCTAATGACATCGAGCAACAATAGGCCAGGGCCATGTCAGTAAGTTGATCGTCATGTGCCATCTAGATTGATGGATAATTAGTTGACCAGTGGCATTCCCTTCCTTTAGGCCGCGAGTGTACAGTAGCCCCCAAGGAGAAGTCATGCTACCGCTGCGGTGTTGCTGGGCATATTTCTCGCGAGTGTCCCCAGGCTGGTTCGGGCGATAACTACAATGGTGCTGCCAGCGGCGGCCAAGAATGCTACAAATGCGGTCAAGTCGGCCATATCGCACGCAATTGCTCTCAGGGCGGCAACTATGGAGGCGGCTTCGGTCACGGAGGTTACGGCGGTCGCCAGCAAACTTGCTACTCTTGTGGTGGCTTTGGCCACATGGCCCGCGATTGCACTCATGGTCAGAAGTGCTACAACTGTGAGTTGCTTGTCAGTCTTCTTCTTGTACTTGTTGAGTAACAATGATCGTAGGTGGAGATGTCGGACATGTATCCCGCGACTGCCCCACTGAAGCCAAGGGTGAGAGAGTTTGCTACAAGTGCAAGCAACCTGGACACGTCCAGGCCGCTTGCCCTAACTAGTTGACACATATCTCGGGTCATCTGTCTTCAATATCGCGTTAGTACACACAGAATCATTGGTCGGAGATATCATCCCGGTCTGTCCGAGGATCTCGATGGTGCGAAATCTCCCTCTATGGTGAGGTTGCGACCTCGCTCCCCAATATGGTTGCTGGCTTCTCCGTCTTTCCCGGCCTTCGGCCGGCATTATGTCGAGTTGGTGTTCACATGTGCCAAATCGCTCTATCGGTTTTCCTCAGTTACAGGCAGGGAGATGTCTGCTTAAGAAATGAACAAGGGCTAAGGTTGCAGGTGGACAAAGTGTGATGGACTCGTTGGTGTGATGCAGAGGATCAAGAAATACCCATAGCTTTGCAGCTTTTAAAAGCAATCTTACTTTCACGATTTCAAATCTCTTAAAAAAAGTCTCCTCTATCAGACACCCTCCGTCCACGTGACCAGTATGATCCACTACTGACTTTTCTAACCAAATTCAAATAGAGTCAGAGTAGGTGCTGATTGGGCTGTATTGGAAGTCATTTAAATAGTGTATACATTCGAAGGGCTGAAGACGGCAGTGCCCAGTGGTGACAATGACCAGCTATATGGTACATTCAGAACTTCATGATCTACGTTATGGTCTTCGAGATGGGCTGTGATTCCTGCCCCAGCAATATACAAAAGAGGCAACGTGCATATACCCAATTGATGCAACAGGATCTTGATCAAGCATATCTGATGGTGTGCAGCAGGAAATGTCCCGACTACTATCTAATGCGGATGCCAGCAATGCTTGTCAAAAACTCGAAGTTTATGGATAGCGTCTTCACGAGCTGCAGCTACACATCATGGCTCTCTTGTATCTGGGAACATCACCGCAAAAGCGTTCCTCTTCATCTTTGTCCAGGCCCCATGAATTTCTGAAAGGGTCGAGAGCCATTCGCATGACACGTTCAAGAATTTTTCGATCTCCTTGTTTCTCTACACGTTCAATGACTTCATCGAGAATCCATCCGCGAGGTATGAACTGTAGCATGTACACGTCAGCGAGGCACATGAGTCGATACAATGGAGAGGGTGTGAGCAAGGTACATGAAGCATAAAATGAACAAACTTGAAGTGAGGACAAAGAGACACTTGAGACTCACCTTCGGGTTGACTGCATTCATATCTTTCTGTCGGTCTGGGTCGTTTTCGATGCCCCAATCTTCGAGGATTCGAGATCTCCAAGCCGCGAGCCACTTGGCTAAGCGCACTTTTGCAGACTGTTCTGTGTAGCCAATACCCCCGAACCCTTCATTGTGAAAGAAGATGGGTGCTGTGTCCATTCGTTGCTGGTCTGTCTCGATATCAGCAAGCGCTACATTGGAGAGTCGCCTGAAAAAGTGATTGAAATCAAGCTCTAGAGCTTCCAATGTATCCAACATCTCCGAGAACAGTTCCTGGAAATCAGACTCCTTTTGGGTCTTCAATCCTAGCCTGCGACTCATCAAGCGTTTATATTCATTCAGAAACACGCTCCTGTATTCATCACCGGTCCGTTCAATGATGGCCTCAGCGCGTTTCACAACAGGTGGTGCGGTTTCCTCGGTCAACCCATCTTTCAAGAACCATTCTTCATCGACCTTGTCCCCGGCACCAATTAATTCCCCCAACGCCTCTCCGAGTCGAACCAGGTTCCACCAGATGACAGTTGGTTGATTCTTGTAAGAGTATCTCAACAGGTGGTCGTCATGATTTGGAGTATACTGTGGGTCAAAATTGTCCATGAAGGCGAATGGGCCAAAATCAAGAGAGAGTCCGAAGATCGAGGTGTTATCCGTGTTAAGTACGCCATTCATGAAACCATACGCTTGCCAAGCAGCCACGGTCGTCGCGTTGCGACGCGCTATCTCACGGTATAGTCGTGCAAATCTATTTTCTGTTACACCCTGGTGTTCCTGTGCATGGTCTCGGGGAATGCCTCTGGCAGGATTATCGATGGCGTCTGTGGAATGGCCCCGGCCTAAGGATACAACACCTGGCAGGGTTTCCCATCCTCCAAAAACGTCCTCGGCGGTAAACGTCGCTAGCTTCCTGATGAGATCTCGGTCCCCGCGCGAATGCGGCAGATCAAAGCTCCCAATTCTGAGCCAAGTCTCGGCGAATCGAGCAACGATAGCACCGGGCTCAATGCGCTCACGCAAAACCTTTGACTTTGGAAGTAGAGTGATTGCCAAAGCTCGAGTGCTTGGCACACCAAKAGCAGATAACGCTAGGAAAACCATGAGCTATAATTGCGAGTTCACGAATATATACCGCTTACCTTCTGACACAACGTACTCGCGGATGCTCGACCGAAGAACAGCCTTGCCATCAGCGAAGCGTGAATATGGCGTCTTTCCCGCTCCCTTCAATTGTAGTTCAAATCTGCGCTTCGTTTGAGGATTGACGCACTCGAACAGGCTAATCGCTCGCTGATATAGGTCAATTTCTCTCGTTGGAAGCTCTTTTGTAGAATACAGAGCTTACTCCATCACCAAGTTGCCCGGCCCAGGAGCCACTGTGCCTGGTCAACACTATCCAAAAATCCAATTACGAATCAGACAACGTACAATTGCCATCCTACAAGTCATTAACAACGCTTCTTATGCTTTCGAGCCGCGAATTCGTCATACCTCCATAGCACTGAGCCCACGGGTAAATTCCTCCATCCTTTGCGTTCCAACAGATCTCATTTCCAGATACTAATGCTTGAAATTGCGGCGTAAGTTCCTCACCCATTTTCAGACMAAGGTCATTCATCGCTTTAGGGCTGACGCTCAAGAGCTCAGTCTCCTCTGCTGGCTCCGGCCGAACAAACGTGTATAGAGCTCCTTTCACCAGACGCGGGCCAAGAGTCTCTCTGGGCGCCTTGTGGGAAGACTCCGGGGTCTCGAAAGCAGGATCTGGGGGGAGCCTTGTTGTAAACACATTGGATTTCGGAAGTTCCGCAAGAGAAACTCCTGCTGTGCTAGTCGAGGATTGGGTTGCCATTTGGCCCAGACGATATCGCATAGACCTCAATTGGCTGAGTCTACTCCGCAAAGACATATAACAGCGTCTCTACTCTGTATACTCTGTGTGCTCTGTATACTCTGTGAAGAGAAAGGTGAGGACTGTCTCCGATAGAAGTTATGATGAAAGGCTTTAAGATGCGGTATGATGCGATCAGTTAAAATTCTAGATGACTGAAAGAACCTACTGCGAAGATGATTTGCGGGAATGACAAGCACCATGATTACTGCATAACTACGTGAACCACCCCGCAGAGCTCTGTGTGTGGAGTCACCAATTCCTACCTTAGTAGTTTGATTTATTGTACTCCGTACAGCCTAAGGTAGCCATGTAAATACAGTATGTAAGGTACCTTAGTATCTACTAGTTAGCTTAGTACCTTCGGTAGGTACGCTGTTGTATCTTTAGTAATCCCCAGACAGGTATCAAGTATGTAATAGTTTAGAGTTGCTAACAGGCATTCTCCAATATTCGTCATTAATTGCAAATGGTAGAAAGAATAAGTAATGAAGAGAACTTCAGCATGATGGGAGTCTTAGAGGCTTAGCATAAATTAGCTATATATATAGAGAATTTATTTCCATACCTTAAGTCTACTAGGTAAGATATCAGGCAGAAAGAACGGAAATCAGTATTGTTTATTGTTATCATTACTAGCGCCTCTGGTATAGATGTTACTACTGACATATCAATACCTTATGTCCCTCATTGTCATCAATCCTTTTTCGTTGTGATGGATACTTGACTCCTTGATTACTGACTATTTGACTAGCAAGAAGGTCATGGGTACATCATCGTAGCTGCCGTTATCTACTCACGGTCAAGTCCGTACAGCTACCTATAATAATAATAATAA